CATTGGTTTGCAACATCTGTCATTGATGATGATGGAAATCTACAAAACCAACATGAGAATTGGAATCAATCATGTTCCTTATCTGATGTCACATTGAAGTGTTTGGTCAGATATCCCATTTTTTTATATTTCAGAATCTGATTACTTTTGAACATTCTCTATCCATCTTCACAGTACAGGAAAAAGTGAATTATGATTCAAATGATTTATGATCTCTATTAACCTTCTTTGTCCTTTCAAACTACCTTGCTATTTCCCACTTTCTATTTCCAAGTGAAAGATAAAGTTAATTGATGAGCCATTTTAGAACATGTAGTTAGGTTTGAATTTTGAAGGTGTTCTGAACATCTTAGATGGTTTCAATTGGAATTTGGTCTTTTTCTTTTTGGACTCTGAATATGGACAAAGAACATCCAAAAGTGCTTACTCTATTATAGGAAATAAAAATATTTTAATGATTCCTGTAAGCAGAAAGATAATGTTCCAGTTTTTAACTTGGTCATATTTATTACATTTATGATACAGTAAAATCTTGCTAAGTCAAAATGCACTAACTTGAAGCTGTCTGTAGGTCCCAGGCACAGTATGTATATTTTTCATATAATATGATTTTGTTAAGTTGAAATTGTCGGTACTTTTAAATTAAATCTATTTTTCCTGTGTACCCTCCACCCTTTGATAGGTCTATTATCTTCATTTTTTCTTAAGTCTGTTTTCATACAGAATATAAGATAAACAAACACTACACTTTATTCTTTGTGACAAAAACAACTACAAGCCATTACAACCTTGTGTTGACATCCTTTTACTGATACAGTATGTTATTGATGTTCTGATTGGAACACAAGAGATTGCGTTATTCAAATGCACCATAAACTATACAATTTTGCAATCATTCTGTTAACAGATTCTTGAAAGTCAGTTTGATACTGAAATAATTTACAACTATAGAAAATTTTTTTTAAAAAATCCTGGTATTAAACTCATTAACTCAAAATTGACTTGTTCAAGTTGGGATTATTTTATTTTGTTTTTACCCCTTAAACATTGACTTCATGAGGTTTACTGTACGTCTGAATAAAGACTTTGAAAGTTATACTGAAATGTAATATTATATTGTCTCATTAGTTATGACAGTGCCTACTTTTTATTATCAATGGCTTTTAAAAATATTTTCTGTAATTTTTTGTTTGCAATTTGATTTTGAACAATCACGAATTCTGCCACATGAAGAACTTTCTACAGTCTAGGAACATGATGCTTTGTAATCAGTTATGACTGCTAAAGTTTTAGGTAGTATATTTCTTATAATACTTTTTGCATCCATAACTGCAATTACTCTACATTTTCTATAGAATATAAATATCCTTGTTCTGAGGATTCGAATGAGGTCTATTTTTTGTGTAATTGTGAAGAATATTGCTTGGCAAAGAAGTATTCTTATAGGATATAAATAAACTATGAGAGGATAAATTCATTTCTTCATAATAGTTTGGTTGATTGTTTTTAATTTTTGAGAGGTTCCATTTATCTTTATGCCAAAATCAATATTAAATAAAAATAAAAAGGAAAAACAGCTAATTAGGAAAACCAAAGATGGAAATCTTTGAGAAATGTTTTTGGCCTTTATTTCAACCAGCTTCAACTCTTTTTAAAAGAATGTATAATACACAATGTTCCAAATACACAATATATATTAAACATTTACTTCTTCCTTTACATTTTTATTTAATATTGTTCTTAATTCTCCTTTGGAGATTACCTAAATTATCCACAGCTTTCTCAGCAGATAGACTAAACCAGAGCAATTCACCAAATTAGATTTATATTGTATTCTAAAAGCTGAGGATGACCTATATTGAAAATAAGTTGAAAACATTAGTGAAATAAGGTTTATGATCAGCAAAATTTAGGTGGTTTGGTGAATTGATGTGATTATGAAGAAAGATGCTTTTAAAAGTTGGCAGAATGAGAAAGGAGATAATAAGGTAAGGGAAGAGAAAAGAGAGGTCTATGTGCAGATGAAAAAGAAGGCGAAGACAGAGGTCGCCATAGCTAAGGCTCAAGCCCAGGACGAAATGTATAGGTCACTCACGGGAAAAGTAGGTAGAAAAGCTATATATAGACTTGCAAAAATGAGAGGCAGAGGGAGTAACAATATGGCCTATATCAAGTGTATAAAGAACACAAATGGCAAAGTGCTAACTAAAAATGAAGAAATTAAGGCCCGGTGGAAAACATACTTTAAAGACCTTATGAACGTGGAGAATGACAGACAAACTAAAACTGAAAATGTAGAGCCAAATATTGGCCTAGTAGGCATAATAGAGAAATGGAAAGTACAGCTGGCATTGAATAAAATGAAAAAATGGGAAATCTGTGGGCCCGGATCAGATACCAATAGAGGTATGGAAAGTCCTAGGAGAGGAGGAAAGAGACTGGTTAACAGAGCTGTTTAACAAAGTACTGTTAGAGGAAACTATACCCAATGAACGGAGAAGAAGCTATTTAGTACCCATCTTTAAAGAAAAATGGGATGTGCAGGAATGTAATAAATAATTATAGGGGGATAAAACTATTGGCTCACACAATGAAACTTTTTGAAAAGGTAATTGAACAGAGGATTAGAGAGGAAACTAGTGTCACTGAAGGCCAGTTTGGATTTATGCCTGGGAGGAATACTACAGATGCCATATTCGTGGTGAGACAGGTGATGGAGAAGTACCGATCTGTGAGTAGAAACCTGCAAATGGTGTTCATAGACTTGGAAAAAGCGTATGACAGAGTCCCAAGAGAAGTTCTTTGGTGGTGCCTTAGGAAGAAAGGTGTGCTGCTTCAATACATTGTGACAATTGAAGATATGTACTATAGGGCCATCACGCAAGTTAGAACTGCAACCGGATTGACGGACATGTTTGAAGTAAGAGTGGGCTTACATCAGCGGTGAGCACTCAGCCCATACCTCTTCCTATTAGTTATGGATGTGATAACATCTGCTGTACAAGAGGACGTACCCTGGTGTGTGCTGTTTGCAGATGACATAGTCCTCATTGATGAGGGCAGGGAAGAATTACAGAGAAGGCTAAACAAATGGCAACACATGCTGGAAAATGAGGGACTAAAAATCAGCCAAACCAAGACGGAGTATATGTTCTGTAATTTTGACGGTCTCCCTGGTACTGGTGCATTAAAACTAAATGGAATACCATTGCCAGAAAGTACTGAATTCCGATATCTGGGATCTCTGCTCCAGAAAGATGGCAACATTGATAGGGAGGTTATTAGGAGGATCAATGCAGGGTGGTTAAAGTGGAAACAGGTGACAGGAATAACTTGTGACAAACGCATGCCATTTAAAATAAGAGGGCTAATATATAAAACTGTTATCAGACCCGTGCTTATGTATGGGTGCGAGTGCTGGCCAATGACAGCCACCGAAGAGAAGCAATTGCATGTGGCAGAGATGCAAATGCTGAGGTGGATGTGCGGGGTCACAAGAATGGATAGGATTAGAAATGATTACATCAGAAGTTTAAAGGTAGTATCTATCTCAGAAAAAATAAAAAGCCACAGACTGACATGGTTCGGACATGTGGTGAGAAGGAATGAGGAACATGTAACAAAAAAGGCACTAAATATGAAAGTACAGGGAGATAGAGGAAGACCTAAGAAGAGGTGGATTGAATGTGTAAAAACAGATATGATGGACTGTGGAGTGGATGAAGAAACAATTAGAGATAGACCAACGTGGCATAAATTGACATTCTGGGCTGGCCCCAAATAATCTGGGATATAGGCCAGTACGAAGAGAAGACTTTTTACTTATCAGCATTACTTTAGTTTTTGATTTTCACAATTGAAATTGCACTGGAATTTCATAAACTACTTAAAAGTGTAATATATCTTTATCTGAAATGAAAAATAAATTAAAACTTGTTGAAAGATCAAGTATTAATTTTAGTACATAAATCATAGATTAAGTATGAAAGGTTTTCAGATGTATTTATATATATTCTCATAAAATAAAAAGTTATTTTCATGTATAAATAAAAATTGAATATTCAAACTGTTTGTAGTAATTAATCTGTAAAGTCACAAAATAAGAATGCTAAAAACAATTGTAAGTGTCAAAATAATTTGTAAACTTCTAATTTTGTGAAATTATCTAAATTTTTTGCACGTTTATAAGAAGACCTTTCTTTTTTTTAAGTTAATATATACTGTTAAGGAATACTTTTCCATTTTCTCATCAATATCATTAGTTTTTAGTAGTTTGAAAAATGATTTAATTCATTTATGGATAATAAATTTAATTCTCAGTCATATAAAATAGAATGCGAAAGTGCGCACATGCGTGTATTCGATTTATAATAGCAACTTACCAAATATACAAGTTATTCAAGCTGATATTAATAACAGTTTCTTCCTGACTGTTTATAGGCTAGAAATTAATTTATTTTGAAATTTGGTCTAAAATATAATAAAGTTTCAATATTTTATAGAGGTTTAAAATAAATGCTGTGAGTCAGAAATTTATTTAAATAGCCTAGAAGAAATTTGGCATTATTTGATTATAAAAATTCAAGTTTCTGATTTCTTGAAACTAGTAAACATTTATTTGATCAATTTTTTTTTATTTTTTTTTAAATTTCCAGGTTTCAGAAATATTCAAATTATTAAACAAATGTTTTTGATTTTTTAAGATTTCTAGGTTTCAGAAATAAACATTTATTTGTTTAATATTTGAATATTTCTGAAAAATTAGTTCCTGTAATTTTTAAGAATTTACTGAATTAATGAGTCAGAAAATGTTGAGATTGTTACAAATTATTAAAGTTCTGATATTGGATAATTTTATTCTTATATATAAAAACCTTAAGATCAAGTTTAGTTATGCAATTCTTATAAATTTCTTTTAATTTTACAATGTCTTTTTTTAAAATTTAAAATAAAAGTAATTTTAAATGTTAAATATTTCATTAAAAGTAAATATTTTTCAGCTATGCCCTGGTTTGGTATTGACATTGGAGGAACTTTAGCTAAAGTTGTTTACTTTGAACCTACTGATGAATTATCCAAAACTGATTGTGATTTTGGAGATTTAAATAGAATTTGTCAGTTTCTTAAGAGCAGAGCTGCATATGGTAATACAGGAAAGAGAGATATACATTTAGAGGTAATGATTTAAAATTACTAGTCATTTAAAAACATAAAATAAAAAAAAATAAAAAAAACTCAATTCTGCATAAATTATGTTATAATATTATAAAATGAGTTTATGTAAGTTTCTAAAAAAGTTTACAAGTGATTGGAGTTTGTAAACTTTTAAGTGTGGAGCAAATGAGTTGATGCAGTTGCTTTGATGTGTAGATGGAAACTGGTTTTTATTTTGTGTGGCTGTCTGTTCACTTTTGACTAAGGCTGACAATTGCCATAGTGACAATCGATTGGATGCGAATGTTGCTATTCACTGAACAAAAATATCATAAATTGAATATGCTCTTTGTTGAATGAATGCGTACATTTTCATTGAAAAAACTTACCTTGATTCTACTACTGGGCAATATACAATTGCAGGTAAATTTGCTTTGATGTCTAAGAAAACCAGTTTGCTTTGATATTGACTTGTTTGCACCAGGCATAAGGTTTTTTTAGTAATTTGCTATTGATCTTTAAAACAAAATTATAGTTAGATTAACTGTTTTTTGTATTATAGTTATATGGGATACTTATTAGGCAATGCTATTTTTATACTTTTAAACTACTGTCCCATCCCTGTAATGCTCTATAATCACTGTTTCACATATTCATCCCCAAAGTTACATATGTATCTTCAATCTCTTTTATTGTACTGAGGAGTAATACACAACACAGAGTAGCAAACATTACAATATTTTATTAATTACATATATAACTTACAAAGCAGTGACAAAAATATGGTTTGCTATGCAATACTTCAAATCAAAAATGAATCATTTTGTTATCCAGGTGTTGAGACCCTAACATTACATAATGTTTTGTGAATACTCTTACATTCTTGTAACACATTGTAATGATTATCTGCAAACCCATTCATACCTACATTACATATATTCAATAATTTATGGAGAGTCCTGTTGTAGATGAGTAAGTTTTTATATAAAAATATTTAAGTTATTGTTTTCATATCAAACTTATATCTTAATTATTGATCTAATATTTTCTTAAATTCATTAACATAAATAATCTAATGTTTTGCTTTTCGTACAAATGATGTCTATTGTGTAAGTTTGGATCTAAAAAGATGTGAATTCAGTTTTCAGTTTTGATATTAAATGTTTTCATAATGAATAATTTTGGACATTCAAAAAATACATTTCAAACAATGAACCATATTTAATAATATGTTGTTTTAAAGGACTTTTATCACTGAATCTAACAGCTTTAATGCTGCAATCATACTTAGAATCAAATGAATCATCAAGAAGATGTATTGAAAAACCTCGATCTAAAAGAAGGAGAAAATTTATCTTTAGAATGATCATCATTACTCATGATTAAATAATGTCCTAAATATCCTGCTTACTTATTTTGTTTGACAATGATTCATATTCAGAAGAGCTGGATATTGAATTAGATAACTTTTGAAACAATGCTTAAATTTAATCCTACATATTTATATAATTAATTAGCTAAGTTCTAGCTTGAGAATTAATTCAGCTATGATTTGATTTTTTAAATTACTTGGGCTTGATTTTCTATCAAATATTGTATTTATTTACTGTCTTTAGAATTAATTAATTGAAAATTAAGATTTAATAAATGAAAATGTACAGTTGAATTAAACAGAATTACTTTTTTAATTTTATATATACTACTAATGATGTACTCAATATTTCTAAATCTTAATTAATTAGTTTATTTATCTAAGCATACTGCTACAAAACCATGATGCGGGGAGAAGAATAAAAAGCAAAACAAATATACAAAAATCATACAAAATTATACAACATATCCCACAAATATATGAAAAAACATCAATAAAATAATTAGAATGCATTTAATTGTTTGATTAACTTAAATTACTGGTACGAAACCATGATATGAGGAGAAGAATAAAAAGCAAAACAAATATACAAAAACAATACAAAATTATACAACATATCCCACAAATATATGCAACAACATCAATAAAATAATAATCAAACAATTAAATACATTCTAATCTTAAATTTATATGGGAGAAGTACCCAAAAAAAATATAAATAAAATAAATTGATAACCAACAGACTAAGCTAAACCTTACCTAGAAAATAATAAAACAACAATTAAATCACTTGTTTGCAAAACCAGATAGTTTCCCAAGTATCCAGAGCAACTGCTGGTTAAATAATAGATAAACTGCACCCTGTGCACAATTTACATAAAATTATCTATATATAATAATAAATCACACACACCTGAATTTTTTGCCGAGTTATTTTTGTTTATTCCAAACGTTTTCGGCCAATTCGTATAGGCCATCTTCAGGTTTTAATAGTTTTCGTTGTAATGGAATCATTCGTTCGAAATTCGTTTGAATTTGAACTTATTACAACTTTTATGTATAATAAATAAATTAAACTAAATATATGATAAAATGTAATCTAAAAATCGCGTTTCAATTTAACAATAAAATAAAAGAAAATTTATAACTTTGAGTTTGAAATACTAAAAACTCCAGAACATGAAAATGTTTATGGATTATTAAAACCCATATTTTTCTCAATTTTATATTTCCAAGCCGTTGGTAATGCTTTTGCATCTTTTGCATTTAGGCATCTGTCCCTCATCTTACTTCTGTAAATCTCTATTTTCTCCATTTCCATTGCGATGGAAGGTGAGTGTCCCGTCCTAACAATCTTGGCTTCATCCCATTTGACTACTGATCCGTCTGCCTGTGCCATACTTGCNTTATTAAAAAATATTAATAAAATATGAATTATATTTGTATATAATTAAATCTAAGGAATTTGGCCTAGAAATATCTCTTGATAAATTTTATAATTAAATTAATATTTTAAAAATTAATTTAGATGGTGGTGGAAGAAAAGAATTGGCCCAAGTGGAACTTGAACCCACAACTCATGTTTGCCATGTGAACATTTACCAGTTAGGCTCCTGGACCTCAGCCTGATCTTTGCTTCTAGAACTATTATTTTAGATAACCATACTAATGACTCATAGCCAAGGTGGGAGTTTAAGGCCATGGGCATTGAAGTCGACCCCAGTCAATGATGTATGTAACCAGTATGGTTATATCTAAATTAATAGTTCTGGAGGCAAAGATCAGACGGAGGTCCAGGTAGGATAACTGGCAATGTGTCTGCATGGCAAGTAAAAATTGTGGGTTTGATTCCCAGTTGGGGCAGATTATTTCCTACAGAACCTTCTAAATTAATTATTAAAATATTAATTTAATTATAATTATTAAATTTATCAGGAGATGGCATCTAATGCCTACCTTGAGGCCAAATTACTTGACATTTTAATCGGTAATTAGTAGCATTATTATAGTCCAACATAATCCTGCAATCATGTGGATTAATGGTTATATAATAAACTACTTCATACATATTTGCCATCATAGTAATGTAAATATTTATTTATTAAGAATGGTTACTTTAGAAAGCAAGATAATAATTCAACAAGAAACATTTTCATCTCGAACTAGGGCATCAGCTTAGAATTCATATCAGTCAAATACAAAAATCATTCTTATTTTAAAATGTAACACAAGATCAAACTTATTAGAATTTAATGGTGGTTCAAACACATTTTTACAAAGCATTTATGATAGGTATTAATTTTGTTTGTTTTTATTATTGTAGATGAAAAATGTTTGTATTAATAAACGAAGAGGAACACTTCATTTCATTCGCTTTCCAACCAGTGCAATGCATTCTTTTTTAGAATTGGCCAAAAATATGGGTTTTTCAAATTTAAATACAACAGTATTTGCTACTGGAGGTGGTGCATATAAATTTGAAAACGAATTCCAACAGGTAAAATTTTTATTTGCATTTTCCAAATTTAAATAGCTTATATAGTGAAAGTATGTGGAGGACTCTTAGTCTGGATTTTCATAATACCTTTTGTTAAATTTCATTGGTTATTTTTTCTAATAATATAACTATATTAAAATTAGCAAGAAATTTTAATATTTGAAATATTTATCATTCAGTAGTATTGAACTATTATTTTAATAAATATTTATTTAGATTACAAGTATGGAATTGCATAAATCTGACGAAATGGATTCGCTAATAAGAGGAATTCAATATGTTGAAGCTAATAATTATAACGAATGCTATTATTGGAGTATGCCCTTAGATGAAATAAATTGTAAAAAAGTGCGATATGATTTCAGTGATCCCTATCCATTTTTAGTTGTAAATATTGGTTCTGGAGTTAGTATTCTGGCAGTTACCGCTCAGAATCAATACAAAAGAGTAACGGGTACAAGGTATGAAAAATTATTCATTTTATTTTAATTTTATAAATATCTTAGAACTATCTGTTGTATATAGCATGTGATTTAAGAAATTTTAAAGAATTTTGATGATAATCTCAGGAGTAAATTTTGATTCATACAATGTACACTGCAGTGTTCGTTACATTGACTAATGTTTGGTGAAACCCAGTTTAGATATATCTTATGCTCAAAACATATTTTTACAATATGTCATATATTTTTATAATTTTTTACAACAAATAATATTTAATATCATCAAGTATAATACAGTCGATCCCTCTATAACACTGTTGATTATTCTGTTTTATATGAATTTCATGTTGTACGAGTCACTTAGATTTTACAAATACATGTGCCGGGCTGTGAACGGCTCAGGTATTTGTAAAATCTGAGTGACTCGTACAACATGGAATTTATATAAAACGGAATAATCAACAGTGTTATAGGGTTGTTTTGTCAGAAAAATAAAAGGCTGGAATTACAAGGGAGAGAGCTTCAAAGTTCTGAGGAATACTATCCGATTGGTATATACCGGCTTGAGCGTCAATGTCGACGTCTTCCACACTCCAAAAAGTGTTATAGGGGTAGACTGTATTTAATTTTCATTAAGCACACTAAATCAATTAAAAACATACAAAAGATGATTACCAAAACTCAATTTTTTTTAGATTTAAATATTATCTGAAAATTTTGAAGTCAGTCATAAGTTAATGTAAGTGTTATATCAGACAAGGAACAAAGGTTCTATAAAACTCCAGACAAGTGGAGTTATGTCAGACAGGACTCCTTTGGACATTGAAAGGTTAAACAGCAGTAGTAGTAATAAATTAACAGGTACAAGTTCATGAATGTTCAATCATATTAACAATGAATTTATTTTTGAAAAGATTCCATTTATGAAAACAAAATAGAAAAATATCATTCAGTATAGAATTATATTTGTTTCTTAAGATAAATTATTACTAACAACCAGTATCAAATGATAAGTAATAAGTAAATTTAATTCAAAACAAATTAAATTTCAACTGCTAAATTTAATAAAAAGTCAAATTGAATAATGAAATGAAAGTATTAATATGGATTTTTTTTTCATGTTTATAATTTATGCACTATAGATTTTGGATATATTTTATATTGGTTCAAAAACAACACAGAAGAACTAAAAATCTTAATGTTTATCAAATATATTTCACAAAAATATCATTAAATTTTTAATCATTCATAGAAATTTAAAGATATACAACCTTCATTATTACTCTAAGAGTTTTTTTTTTTTTGTTATAATATGAAAATGGACATAAATGGATACTACTAACTAAAATAATACACGTGTTTTATTATTTCAGTTTAGGTTTTCAAAGATATTAAAAAGAAATATGAAATTGATTGTATGAAATTTTTTTTTCTTTTGATAAATTTTCAAAATAGTACTTTGCCTATACTTTCATTCCACAACCTTATCTCTGGCATTGATATAATCTAATATAATCTATGATTTTATAGTTGATCATCTTTATAATTAAACTGTAACAACATATTTATATTTATTTCAGAAATAATTCACAGCAACACTTTTATATACTTGTTTATTATGTAATTATTAAATATAAATTTATTTTAGTTTAGCAACTATAATAATTTAGTATTCATAATTATTTTCATGGGAATTTCAGTCTAGTATATATTTTCCAAGAAACCATAGAATTGGCTTATTGTTATCAGTCATCTAATGTTAAAAGAATAAGAATACAGTGGGTGATTGGTTAACAAAGAGATTGGATAACGAACACTTTCACAAAAGATTTTTATGTTCAGACAACGAACATACGATCGAATAATGAACACCCCACAGAACAAACACAAGAAGTGATGTAAAATAATGAATACTGATTGGTCTTCCCTTGTCTTCAGGCAATAATTCAAAACTTTTTGGAGTGTGGAAGACGTCGACATTGACGCTCAAGCCGGTATATACCAATCGGATAGTATTCCTCTGAACTTTGAAGCTCTCTCCCTTGTAATTCCAGCCTTTTATTTTTCTGACAAAACAATTCTTTTATATATTCGCAAGACTGTCGGGTAGGCACTCGTTAAGTTTTGCGTCTGTTTTTCTTTTTTGAAAAGTGAGAATTTAATAGCAAAGATAGAGAGTGGGCAGAAGATGCCTAATGTTTCTGGGCAGTATGGCATGAACAGGTCTACAGTAGGCTACAGTTTAATGTTATTTAAGAAAGATACTGTATAATCAAGAAGACTCAAGTAGTTAAAGGAGTAACAAAAATCACATCTGAGAAATAAAGAACATCGAAGAGTTCATAATGGAACCTGAAACGGAAATGACGACAGAAGAACATCAAGAACTCTTGAATGAAGAACGCCAAGAAACTCAGCGAGATATGTTTTCTTCTGAAAAACAGGATTAATTAATTAATGTCGATATCTGTTATTAATTAAAGATCCTTTGAAGAAGTGGGAGGATGTCAGAACAACGGTCTTAGAATGGCATCCAAACCAGGTTGAGGCTTGGGGATTTCTACAATCGCAATGCTGTTAATTACTTACAAAAAATCCTGAAGAAGAGAGAAAAGCAATCGACATTAGACAGATTCTTTAATCCTTTCAAACGGAAAAAACATGACTAATAAAAATGCAAGACTGTGTATGTATGTATTTTTATTATTACATATAAATAAACGTAGTAAGAAAGTATATATTTTTTTATTTTTGGGGGTCTCCAGAATGAATTAATTAAATTCACATTAAAACCTATGGTATATCGGTAATTGGTAACAAACAATTCGGATAGCGAACAAAGTCTTTAATTAAACAGATTATGTTCATTAACCGATCACCCACTATATTAACAAAACAGAAGTTAAAATACTCTGATTTACAACAAGTGAAATTTTATAAGTATATCAGTTACAATTATTACTTTCAGATAAATAAGCACTAAATCTGTCTTCTTGTGATGTCATACTTAACATATGGCTGATAAAGCTCAATCATTGTGTTTTAAATGTTAAACATTGTTTTTAATCATTATTACAGTACAGTAGGTTAAATTACTGACTTTTGTTATTTCATTTATATGCTGGCTGAATGACTATTAATTAATAGTAATTCAGCCAATAACTATTATAAGTAATTTGGCACTAGAGACAGGTGTTAGGCACCATCTCTCACTAAATTTAATATAATTTGCCAATCATTTGGCTTTAACAATTATTATAATTAATAAATCTTAAATCAATATTGTTCAACTCTTTAGCGACACTGGAAGCATACTACACTTACACTTAAAACGAACCTATTACCGGCATGTATCTTATAAAAATCGTCCCACAAACGTTTCTGAACTTTATGAAGTTCTTCAGGTGGAAATGGAATATTTGCAAAAAAATCGAACAGATTTCAAATCAAAAAGTTCGCCAAATAAAAATACATGCATCAATCAAAAAGAAGAGCTCAACCTATCACCAGCCTGGCAACTTTTCCTGGACAAGTATCTGTAGTAATTGACACATGCGCACAACGGCACATGTCTGTCAGAGTGGAATTTGGTGAACTTTTTGATTTGAAATCTGTTCAATTTTTTTGCAAATATTCCATTTCCACCTGAAGAAGAACTTCGTAAAGTTTGAAAACGTTTGTGGGACGATTTTTATAAGTAATAGGTTTGCTTTAAGTGTAAGTGTAAATTGTAAATCTTAAAACAATTTAAAATGTATAATTTAAACATTCTTTTAATGTTAATTTGATATAATAAGAACTTTCAGCAATTGTATACTTATTTACCTAGCCTATTTAACATTATCAGTTATCATCAATGCAGACAAGTGCAAAATAATTACAATAAGTGCATTCTATTCTATTTGACAATTTGCATTATTTTTTATCACAGAACATTTAGATGGTTTATTATTTTAGTTTAGGTGGTGGCACATTTTTAGGTCTATGTTGCCTATTGACGGGATGCGACACATTTGAAGAAGCCATCGATCTTGCTGAAAATGGTGATAACACGAATGTGGATAAACTTGTTCAAGATATATATGGTGGTGATTATACTAGATTTAATCTCAGGGCAGGAACTGTTGCCAGCAGGTAAAAAAGAAATTTTAAACTTATTTTTTAATATTGATATGTTTATAAATGTAGAATATGACATTCTTTAAAAAAATAATTTAATTAATGTAACAAAACATATATTTTGAAGAATGATATAAGGTTTTTAAAAGATATTAAGGTTCAAATAGAAAATTTTAATTCTAACTCAATAATCAATTAGTCAATCTTTATTGACTTAGAAGAAATCCTCCCTTATGTACAAGGAGATATATACACAAAATACAGAATAATGAAAATACAGTGTGTTACAAAAAAATGGTATAAATTATAAAGACACACAAAGAATCTTCTAAATAATGCTTGTACTATTTATAACAATCTTTCATAATTTCTTTAAATATTTAAAAAAAACTTATTATTTTTTGGGAGGTTAATTTATTGTAATATTTTAGTTAAATTATTTTTTTACTTATTTAACTTATTTTGTTATGTCAATTCTCTAAAAATTCCCTTTATATAAATAGAGATTTTAGAATGTTCTAAATAATAATCATTATCTGACAAGAACTGCCAAAAATATTTTAACCTCAATCTCTGGTATAATTTGCATTTTAAAAGAAAAACTTGATACCAAGTTTGGTTCTTTACATTCCAAACAGATATTTTGATGTATTTAAAGTCAAATTGTTAACTAAATTTAATATTCATTATAAATCTCACTAGAAGTATTAAAGCAAAAGACATCACAATGTATCTTCTTATAGAATAGGTGATGGACATTCTTAAGAATAAATGAATATCAAGAGTTGGAAGGTAGATATATTTACTTTGTTTTAATTGTGTCAAAATGTGTCTCAACTCTGCCACAAAAGCACATGTGACCAAAAGCAAATAGATGAAATACATCTGATAGATCAGAAAGATTAAAAGTAGCAAAAACTAAGCAATGGTAAAGAATGAAACCATTTTGTAATTTTATTTCTTTTTTGATTAATATTTGTATAAGCTCAAATTCAAAATAGTTGGGATTTTGAATTTTATTTCTCAAAAATTTCTTATATGAATTAATGATAATTTTTAAAGTATGTCCATTTCAAGTCTGATAATATATATAGCCTGTAACCGAGTGACTCAATTTAAATGACATCCTCAAAAATTGAATTTGAATGCTCCTTCATTGTGATGGCCCTTCATGCCAATTAATTAAAAAAAATTTTATATTTGTTACATAAATATGTTAACATATGTAGTTAATACACATACATATATATCTTGTATTTGAATAACATTAACCAAATGGATTTATATATTTATAGAAATCCTTTTGATTAGTCTCATTTAGTTGCCTGATTTTCTTTTTAATAATTCAATGAATTAACTGAAAAGTGTAGTTTAACTAAATTCTATACCTATAAGTCATCTCATTTTATGAAAATGACTTTCTGCTATTGTGGTTACTTGGAAAGTGACAGTCAGATTTGATAATCTACATTAAATATATCATTATTTATAATTGTATGATCATCTTGTGAATAAATAAATTTCATGTTAGTGAGTTTTATAATCTAAAATAATTTCAAATTTCAGTTTTGGAAACATGATTTGTAAAGAAAGGCGAGCAGCTATTTCTAGAGAAGATCTTGCAAGAGCAACACTTGTTACTATTACAAATAACATTGGATCTATTGCTCGAATGTGTGCAATGAATGAGGTCAGTAATCTGCAAGTGTATTGATTACTAATAAAATTTATTTAATAGTACATATAAATTTAAGTGTTAGTTTTTAAAATGACGCTCATCTAATTTTATAATAATTGTAAATAAATTCTTCATTGTATAGTGTATTAAGTTTAGTACAGGTAACCCCTGAATAACATGGTAGTTACGTTCCAAAAAATGCTGTGTTATGCGAATCCGTGTTATGCGAATCAAAGAACTAGTACGAAAAGGAGGGTTAGGTTCCAAAAATTAAAAAACATGCTACTATATTTTCATAATTAAGATAAATATCTTTATTAAAATTTTCTTAAGTGATACATATTAATATAAATTAAACAATGTTTTCTTTGTCATCACTAAAAGCACTATTAACCGAGAGCGTTTTATTTTTGGCAAGTTATCGTTATCCTCTGAGCATTTTTCTGCATTATTTTCAGATTCATGCTTTAACTTTTGCAAAAAGTGTATGAAATTTTAGATTGCTTGCTTTTAGTTAAAAGATCTTTATAAATTTCCTTATATGGTGCTAAGCACTTAGCACCATATAAGGAAATTTATAAAGACCTTTTAACTAAACAACTTATGATCTTTTAACTAAACAACTAAAGATCTTTTAACTAAACAACTAAAGCACTTATGAAATAAAGGAAAAACATCTGGCAACACCAGAAGCAGAAGCGTCGAGATATGGCAAAATTGAAACAATTTTCGTGAAGGACCATGTGTATGGAGAAGAGAAAAGAAAATTTACACACCAAAGTACTAATAGTTCACGAAAATAATAATTTTCGTAAACTATTAGTATTTAAGTATGTAAAAATTTATTACATTTCATGTTGTACGAGGGTTTTACCCATTTCTCGAACCGTGTCAGAGTGGATCCGTGTTATACCGGGGATGGTACCAATTCTTGAACCGTATTAGAGTGAATCCGTGTTATAGAAGTGCCGTGTTATACGGGGGTTACCTGTATATTGTAAATACAATATATAGTGCACTTCCACTAAATCAAACTGATCTTTTGTTTTATTTAACACTAAATTCTGCAGCCAAAAACAAATCATGAATTTTTTTAAAACTATGAGGAATTTGAAAAATTAATATATTTGTTACTTATATTTATGTTAAAATATGTGTATATTACTAAAAATTTTTAAATATCATATTTAACTTTTTTCTTTATAACTTTACTGATCCAAACGTGTATAAATATTAGTCCAGATTAGTAAGAGTGCATTGTAATATAATGAATAATCCTAACTAAACTGATTGGATTGACTTGATTAATCTTGATTGAAATAATCTAATTAAATTTAATTATTAATCTAAATATAAAATATTCGCTTTGCTAAAATGCGATAATTTTTTAGGGAATTCAACGTGTTGTATTTGTGGGAAACTTTTTACGTGTAAATACAATATCTATGAAACTTTTGGCTCATGCCATGGATTTTTGGTCTGGTGGAACAATGAAAGCTCTCTTTCTAGAACATGAGGTTAGTATTAATTAAATGATATTAATTTTGTTTTCACTACTATTTATTAAATAATTAAATCATTATGGTAGTTTGTGTATTTATTTATTTAAAAGTATTTCAAATAAAGTAAGTGTCATAAACAATTTACTGGTTAAGTACTTGTTCTAAATACATTTTAACTTTTGTGTGCTCATCTTATTGTTTGTGTTTTGCAAATTGTTAGTAAAAAATCAAGTTCTCGAAGATAAAATAAATCATTGTTTACATTCTCCTTTCAAGAATGCTTAAGCTTAAATAAAAAATATTATATAACTTACATAAACTTTAGGTTATTTACCATACTTTCCAGCATATAAGATGACCCCTGACTTTTGAGAAGATTTTCCTGGGTTAAAATGTCGTCTTATATGCCGGAAAATATGGTAGTTAAAGTGAATTCTTTTTAAGAAAAAAAACCCATTAAAGAACATTCATACATTGCATATCTTCATGAACTATTTGTTTTTCTCTAAAATCAAATTGCTGCTCTAAAAGACAATTTTAGACATTTAATATAGAAGACATTAATTTTAACATGACAAAAAATTTAAAATAAATTTTTAAAAATTCTAATGAATGAATGTAATTGTGAAGAAAGTCATTAAGAATTGTTTTTTTGCTTCTAGCATATAAAGCTATTTGGATTTAAAAAGTATTCATATCTTCATTAGAAAAGTTTATTTAATGTTGTTGTTAGAACAAAATATTTAGTTAAATCACCTAAAATAAATTGTGACAATTTTTCTGTAATTTTTACATTTCTAATTAATATTAAACAGTAAGTTGACAAGATTTTTAAAATAAATTTTTTTTATAAATTTCGACAGCAATGAATAAATATCATTATTAACAAAAACACAAACTTTTTATATCAGTTCATTTAAAATTAATAGTTACGATATAAATAACAAATTACTGCTACAATGAAACCATGCAAGATTATTGCCAAAATAATATAAATTACTCATTTAATTAAAATGATAATTTTTAGAGAAAAATTTGAATACAACAAAAAAAAAACTTAATTTTGGACAAGAACTATTACTCCTAATACAATATCTATAGAAGGAAAATGAAACTTCCTTCTATAAATATAAAAAATACTTGCTAGCAAGTCTTCTTCATCTTCTATAATTATATTATTAAACTTGAAAGTTTTAAATATTAAATTAATTATGAAAATAAATTAATACCATTAAGTAGCATTTGAATTATAAAATGAAAATAATTTTTTCCAGGGTTATTTTGGTGCTGTTGGATGTTTAATGGAAATGATGAAATATTCCATGTAAATTTTTAGCCACAAAATTAATTCCTTCCAATTGTATCTACCTACTCACATTCCAAAAGCTATTACACAATGATTTTCCAGAACAACTTGGCTCATTCTGGATCAATTAGTAAAAATTACTCAACCATCATTTAAAGAAAATATATTTATGGATTTACTTTTTAAGAGAAGACTTTTTAGAATATTTTATACTTAATGCTTTTTGACTAACTGTACAAGTTTTGTGATTTAATCTTTACTTAATTTTTATAGACAAAAGTATATATATATATAATTTACTGTATTTTCTGGTCAATAACCTGAGAATATTTACATGCAACATTTTCTACAAAAATTTTGAATTTTTAAATCGTTTTATACCCAGTGCATAAATTATTTGATGTGGAGATATCCTATTAACCAGTAAATATAAAATACATTTGTTTTAGTTTGAGAATGCTAGCTTTATTACATTTTTATGCTACATTTTTTTAATACTTTCTGTTTCATGGGCCATACCAGGGCCTTTTCTTTATATCCATGATGGATTTTTTACTAAGGGGAACTTTTATACCATATTAATTTTCTACCTTTATTTCGTAATGAAAACTGTCACATAAAGAAATCGGAGTTACATTTTATCATAAGTTTTGCATTTTCAAAATATAAACAAACTAATGTCACTAATTAATTATTTGATAATGAAGAATAGACAAGATTTATAAATTAGCATGTTTTTTAATTGGGTAAACATTAAAAGAAACATCTATAAATTAATTTAAAGTTTCAAAAAAGAAATTTGCAAGAAAGTAGTCTCTAAAATTGAATGGCATTTATATTAAGTTTTTTGTAAAGCCACCGTTAAGCATCACATTCTAATTTACGAATTATACCTAAAAATTGGCTCCGTTAATTTGAAGTTGGAAGAATATTATTCGGAATAACGATTTGTTTATTGTACTATTAGTTTGAGTAAACGGCAAAAAACATAATTTAGTAAAAGTACAAGTGTCCCAAAAGTCTTTTTCAATTTGTTTTACCCACTGTGCGACGCAACCGACGATAGGTGCGCAGGAGTTATACCGATCGCCAGCCTCGTCCTTGGGAATTTCGTTGCTATGGAGCGTTTTACAGGAGCGGAGCGTGCGTGCTGCGTGCGCGAGTTTTACAAAAACAATAATTCTGCCATTATAGCGCGGCGAAAATTTTGTAATCTTCATCGATTACGTCATATAAATGAAGCACCGAGTACTCAACTCATCAAAACATGGGTACAGAAATTTGAAGAGACTGGTTTGGCAATGAGCAAACTTCCGACGGGGCGACCAAGATCATCAACAAGCGAGGAAAGTGTGGAGAGCGTACGCCAGTCAGTTATAGCGATTCCCGCTCTCTCTGTTCACAAAAGAGAAAGTGTCTTAAATCTTCCTAAAAGTTCCCTACATCGCATAATGCGTAAAGACTTGTCTCCACCCTACAAGATACAGTTGGTTCAAGAATTAAAGCCAACAGATGGTGCTGAGAGGCTTAACTTCGCTAAGCAGACGAGTTGACATAAACTGGCCTCCACGTAGCCCTGATTTGACACCAATGGATTTTTTCTTGTGTGACTACCTTAAATCAAGGTATACAGCGACAATCCTACCTCTCTGGATCAATTGAAACAAAATATCCGAGAAGAAATGGCAGCGATCACGGAGAACACGTACCGAGAAGTTCTCAGAAATTTTGCCCCCCGTGTAGAAGTATGCCAGCGAAATAACGGAACACATTTAGACGAAGAAATAAATTCCCAGGGACTGTACTTTATTACAATTTTTTTTTATTTTATTAATTTAAACTAATACATTATTTTAATATTGATTTTTTTTTTTATTTTGAAAAAGACTTTTGGGACACCTTGTATATAAAGCGAAGTGACATTAGGAAGATTGAAGTTCTGTCCCAAAGAGGGGGGTCTTCTAACACTCTTACTACTAAAACAGACATTATATCGACTGGCATAAAAAAACATTTAGTTATCCTCCTGCATAAGTTTGGTTTTTCTGGGAACTCGAAAAATATAATAAACGACAGGGAAAAATTGAAGTAACCACGTTCGATGTAGTTTACTACGCACAAATCTATATTTAAAAAACGATGGTTTACAATTTGGCATTTTAAAATGCGGCGTTGCAGAAATATTTTTTGTCATATCCACGTATAAAGTACGTTTTTATAAACTATGCACGGAGTTAGGAATTTCTTCGGTAGTATTATACTAAAATTGGAAAGATCAAGCTTCAGACAGTAAGTTGACGATTGAAATATTGTTAGGGGTAATTAGCACGTATTATATTTGCCAAGTTAAATATTGCATATTTTTTTTTTTTATACAAATCGAAAAGCTAGCATCTCGATCCTTATTAAATTTCCATACGTTCGAGGCCAACCAAATGGCCACTTGAGGAAAAAAATAGATTTTAGAACGAAAGCGGAATACAAACCAGACCAGAAGCTACGGTATTGTTAACATTTTCAATATTATTGTGGGTGATCGAGGATACGATTGTTAGTATTATTGTATATACATATATTTATAATTAGAATTGTGATAGTGTATATTAAACCTATTAACGAGATATTTTGATTTAAAGAAAAAACGGGATTCCTTCTAAATCGATATTTTCCCAATCATTTCGGTTTTTCTCTAGTGTTCCGAGTGTTTTAAATAAAAGGTTTTTAGTTATCACTCGTTCGTCGTTTAAACCCATATAAGGTCATTGGAGAGAGAACTTTAATTATAATCCTCGGCACTTTTACTATCTCTTTTTCTATCGGTTTTTTTCTGTATGTATGGATATTAGTGTGTGGGGGTCACGATTTCGTTCACCCTCTTTGAAGCATAATAACTCCCGCCCGTGCTTTTTGTCGAAAATGTCTGAAATTTTATAGGGAGTTTGCTTATTAGGGGACGGGTGCCACTAAATTTTAATGGTCGAAGATCGAGGGGGTGAGGAGAACAAAAGAATTTCCTTCGGAGCTTGGTCTTTTTATTCCATCGTCGTACTTAATTTGTCGATTTAACAAAAAAATGTTTTCAATTAACACATTTTTAGTGTCAATACGAGTAATTATTTGTCACCATGTTGGGCTGCAATTTTTAATCGTATTTTAAATTTGTTTCGTTTAAAATATACGTTCTCCGCCTCGAATTAGTAGTGGCTGGTCCCCGTACATTTCGGTTAGCAACGGAGTGTTGCCGCTCGTCTATCTGGCTCTAGCTCCTTCCGGGGAAAGTTTTGAATGGAAATAACGTGATCCGGTTTGCACCGGAAGTTTGTATATAATTAATCGGGGCCTCCCGCTTCGAATACGTGGTCTATAATTTGATTTATGTAGCTCCGTTCTGAAGATGAAGGAAAGACAGACCGACGACAGTGGGAATTTATAAGTCTATAATTTTTTCAAAATTGCAGCCCGAAAGGTGTATATAATGTCGCGTGCTGCGTATTAAAAAGAATTTTCTACCGGTAGGACCGAGTCTCCGAATTTAAGCTAGTGACCCGCGTTAGCGTCGATCGAAAGGCAATTCTGTTTTTTTTTCTTTTTTTAATACGTTGTAAACTTATAATCATCGAGTAGAAATTATTGTTCGATTCGAAATTCTTTAGGAATTTCTTAGTTGGGGAGGCGGATATTATCCCTGGGCTTTTCCAATAAAGTTGGTAAAATTTCCCCGGATATATTTTCGAAAATAAGGTATTTAGGCGGAAAAACATTGTTACAAACGGTAAGTCCGAAACCGCTGCGAATTTTCGCCCGCGGTTTGAGTTACGATTTACGGAAGGAATCGACGTCCGGGGATGGAGTTTCCGGTTATAGAGTTTGAACGGGTGGAAGAAGTCGCCGGTCCATAACGGAATTCGGATCTTTTCGTTATAACGAGGTATGGTCGTCTAGAGCAGTGTTTCTTAACGGGGAACCGCGTCCCCCTGGGGGTCCGTAAGAAGTTTGCCGGGGGCCGCCAAATTATGCAAAATTTCCTTCAGAATATAATAAAAAGAAAATTGATGTATAGCCGAATATCATATTGAAAAGTGAAATAAGAAAGATAAAGTCTTCGTATTTAGTTTTTTGTATTTCTTATTTCTTCCTACCTACAACTTTGTTAGTACAGAAGAAATAAATGCAAATATGCTACTTACACCGCAGTATTTACTACTTTTATTCCAAAGTAATTCTAAGAAACTATTAATGCTTGGAATTTTAAAAATAAAGCAATAATAAAAAAAATCAATTTATTATAGTTAATTTAACAAATATAAATTATTATTTAAAAAATGGGGGCCAGAAAAAAATTATGAAATATTTGGTGGGCCGCAAGTATAAAAAGGTTAATTAAGAACCACTGGTCTAGAGGACGCGGCTGCCGAAAACATATCCCTTTACCTTTCGACCGGACCGAGGAGAAAATAGTTTCCATCCGATCGGAGTTTTTGCGGCTCCCTAACGGTTTGTTTCTATCAAAACGGAACGTAGGGAAAATCGGGAGGGTGGTTCTATTATTTAATTTCCTCGTCTAAACGGAAATTTCCACACGTTTTTAATGGGAGTCGGCGAAGGTGTGGACGTAACGCTAATTTTTAAGTATGGTAAAACGTTTGGGCAAAATTTACTGTGATATTAAAAAGACAGACCGACATCTTCCACCTGGTTTAAAGGGAATCTCGTTAATTTTTTTATAAGTTTTATATTTGTTATAATAAAATATTTTTGTAAATATTTTCGTATCGTCTATCGATACTCGTATGACCGATCGGATGAGGTTATCTCAGGATGTACTGTGATAAAATACAAATAAAGTTAGTATAAAACGGAATGTTGTTTCCTGGCTTTCTTTTAATCGTCGTCTGAAAACCCTTAAATTCCGTCATAATAGACGAACCGGACTAAACGCTGGTTTATACACGTACGCCGAAATTAACATTTTTTCCAAATCCGGGTCCGAAAACGAATAAGCAGGAAATTTTTTTTATCGAATTTAAACTTTGTTTTCTTTTTAAGGACGTCGTTCTTCCCTTTAGTTAAATACGATTAAAGCGTATTTTCCGAGGGAAAAGAAAAAAGTTTATTCTCATTTTAACGGTACGTCGGTTATCGGTCCATAGCGCTCCCGGAACTGTGGTGCGCGATTAGATTTCCGGTACGTACTTAATTTTAATTACGCTGACGTACCGGTATGTACAGTACGACACATGGGTAAAAGCGGATAAAGTAAGTAGTCCGTGGAGGTTTTAAAGCCTAGTACTCTTGTGAGGAAACGGGCGACGGAACTGCAAAATGACGTCACTTTTGCCGTCGAAGCCGACGGAATACCCACTCAGGCGGAAAGCGGAACGGTCGTCGTAATATCACGTGGGACGACGGCATTCGAACTATTGCAGTGGGCGAGGCTAAAAAGCATTATTTATACACTAATACGCTATATTACCGTCAGATTTAAATAATAATTCCTAACTTCCAACGATTTCGAATATTTTTGCTATCCAAATTTTTCGTTTTTGTGCTTTTTTATTTGCGAGAAGATCGTAAGCAAATTTAGAAAGTTTAATCACTAAAACAAAGCAATTCCGATCGGTGCCATTTTCGACTACTGGTAACTCCCGAGCGAGCATTAGTTCTAAATAATGCCGCTACGGCGAACAGCGCCAACGACGGGATTCGATTTGTGGTCGTAGTTGCAAATTACCAATGCTTTATTCGTAATTTTTACTTCTAAAAAATGAAAGATTTTTTCCATACATAACGTCGGCCTTTTCGCCCGATCCGAAGAGTAAAATTGCACGTTTATCATACTGTCATAAAATAATGAAATGTGGCGAGTGTGGTTTAAAATATAGTCATAGACAAAGTACAAACAATGCGATCTGTTATATACCGGCACAATACTTGTTTTCTCTTCGTAATTATAAATACTTTGTCGAAATTATTAGTTAAAAGTGAAACAGTTATAGGACAAATAGACAATAAGGACTTAATGTGTTGTAATTTGTTTAGAAAATAAATGTTTAGAAATTGCACATGCTCCATAAAAACGACTAAAATCTATTTAGTGTAGGCTATTTGTGCATATAAGTTTTTAGCTTTTACGTTAAAGGCTTAAAGTACAGTACAGTAGAGCATCGATTATCCGACCCCCGATTAACCGTCACATCGGTTAACCGACCGTTCTAGTCGGCAAATTTCAAATGTCCACTAGTGATGTGACGCTACAATATTTGGCTATGTCTTGGATACTTTAATATTATTTTTGTTAAATTTTTGCGTGTTTTAGCTGGCAACATCGGCTCGACCATTGAAGGGAGGCCAGTATTTAAATGAGACTTAATTATGAGTGTTGGTTTGTTTTGTGAGCAATAAAATAATTTAAAAATAATTTTTAACGATGCAATAGCGACGATTATTATTTTTAAAAAATTTGTTAGGCTAAACATCGATGAAAATTCAACGCGAAGTTGCTTAATAGCGATATAGGCTACTAATTACATGGGATATCGTAATATACTATACGAATAATGCATTTTTTCATTATTTTCGGTTATCCGACCAACACGAGTCCCTAATTGAGTCGGATAATCGATGCTCTACTGTAGTTCTAAAATAGCTAAAGTGACCAGCCATTTTTGAGATTGTGTTCTGATTTCAAATATGTTCCGAATTTTACAGTTGCACTGATTAATTAAGAAAACAATTTCCAGGTAGTTCACCCTATCAAACATTACGCCTCTTCCACATATAATTGGCTCCGAGTGAGAGGGGGATTTAGTTTCGAACTGTCTTTTTATTAAGTATCCTTTCCAAAATACGGAGTAATGTTATCCAGACAATACAGTGGGTGATTGGTTAACGAACAAATCGGATAACGAACACTTTCGCGAAAGATTTTTATGATCGGACAACGAACACATGATCGGATAACGAACACTTCACTGAACAGACATAAAAAGAAGCGACGAAAATAGCAAATACCGACTGATTTTCCTTTGTTTTCAGGTAACTTTTTGGAGCGCGGGAGACCTCAACGTCGACGCTCAACCTGATAATATACTGATTAGATAGTATCCCTCGAACTTTGAAATACTCCCTTGTAATTCCAACCTTTTTATTTTTCTGACAAACAATTCTTTTATAGTATTCGCGAGACTGTCGGGCGGGCACTCATTAAGTTTTGTGTCGGTTTTTATTTTCGAAAGGTGAAAGTATAATAGCAAAGGTAGAGAGTGGACAGATGTCTGATGTTGCTGAGCAGATGGCTTGAACAGGTCTACAGTAGGCCGCAGTTCAATCTTATCTAAGAAAGATATTGTATTATCAAGAAGACTCAAGCAGCTAAAGGAGTAACAAAAATCACATCTGAGAAATAAAGAACAATGAAGAGCTCATAATGGAATCTGAAACGGATCTGACGACAGAAGAACGCCAAGAACTCTTGAATGGAGAACACCAAGAAACTCGGCAAGATACGTTTTATTCTGAAAAAGAGGATTAATGCCGATATCTGCTATTAATTAAAGATCTTTTGAAGAAATGGGGGATGTCAGATCAACGGTCTTAGAATGGCATCCAACCAGGTTGAGGTTAATAGGCTTGGGGATCTCTACAATTACAATGCTATTAATTACTTCTGAAAAATCCCGAAGAAGAGAGAAAAGCAATCGACATTAGACAGATTATTTAACCCCACAAACAAACCATAACTAATAAAAATGCACATTCTGTGTATATATGTATTTTTATTATTACATATAAATAAACGTAGTAAGAAAGTATATATTTTTTATTTTGGGGTGTCTCCAGAACGAATTAATCAAATTCCCATACAAACCTATGGTAAATTCATAATCGGTTAACGAACAATTCGGATAGCGAACAAAGTCTTGGAACGGATTATGTTCGTTAGCCGATCACCCACTGTATTATGGTTGCGTATGTCACACGAGTAATGAATTTATAATTAATGCAAACAATACCCTGTTTTTTAAGCTATATACTTATGCATATTACAGAGCGTTCAATTACTAATAGCAGCACTTCTCTCGGTGGGAGAATATCAAATTTTCTCCGCCTATGTTTCATTTTATTCAAAATTCCATCTCATAACTTAGTATTAATTTTTTATGAAAAAAATTCTTTTTAAATTAAGCAGGATGTCTATCCATAAATTTATTTTATTTTCACTTTTAATTAATAATTTCCAGAAAGTGTTTACAATTACGAACAGAAAAAACACAAGTATTGTACCGGTATATCACAAATCGTACCGTTTAAACTTGGTCTACGACTATATTTTAAACCACACTCGCTACACTCCATTTCATTTTATTGTGTAACCAGTTGGACGACGTCAACCATATGATTACCTGCTTATTTACTATTCGGATAGGGCGAAAAGGCCGACGTTGCATATGGAAAAATCATTCATTTATAAGTAAATTAATCTAAAAATCTGACTACTGTTAGTAAAAAATAAAAGTAATAAGGCATTGGTAATTCGTAACTACGACCAGAAAATAACACAAATCGAATCGTCGTTGGCGTGTTCGGTTCGTCGAAGCGGAACAATTTAGAACTAATGCTGGCTCGGATGCTAGACGCTTGTGAAGAAAGTCCATTTGGCCTTCGAACCAGACACAGGAGAAGGCAAAGACAAAGAAAATGCCAGGTTAGGCTTATTTACGGTAGGCGGGAAGGCCGCAGTTCCTAGGTATCGGCCATACTCGCCTCCTTTACCTTTATCCGCCCTGTGTTTGCCCAAAAGATGTAACTCCGTAGGCGAAAATGATGGAGAAAAGTCGAGAGGGAAATTTGGGAATGGAGGTGTTGCATAGAATCTGATCTTTTTGCGTCGCTGGAGATATATTCATGCCACATTGTTTATACGCGTCGTACCCGAGAACTACCGGAGTTCGAGATCTTACTACCCAAGAAAAACTCGGATAAACAAATGGCCTTCGCATGGACGTACAATTACAAAACTTATTTTTTATAACGGTTACTACATGCTTCGTTTTGATAAACACTAAATTTTACCTACAATTCCCGACAGTTATAGTTATAAAAGCTATTTGGTATTTTAAACTTTGTCGTTTTCTCTTGACGTTATTTATTTTGAAAAAAAAGTCTTGGTTTAGAGATGTACTGTACTCTCCGACTCGATTGCTATATGCTAAATGTGTGTGAAATTTTTATCCGGATAATTTATTTTTTCTAAGCAAAATGAATGTTTTGTAACCGTGAACCGGTTTTAGTTTTACTGTGTGCGCCTCGCCTGGCTTTAAAAAGTCAATAATAAATATTTTTATTCCAAACTAAATTGTTTACTCTAATTTTATTTTAAACTAAAATATTTACAAATATATATATATATATATATTTATCGCCGATGAAAATGAAAGATTCGCCATTGACCCTTTTTATACGTATTGGTGTGCTATGTCGTCAGTTGAAACGTTTGTGTTCGGTCAACGAACTAGAATAAAATTAAATACGCGTCCGCCATTTTCCTTTTAGTCGAGGGGTGTGCCATTTGTGACGTGTATAGGCAACGAGCTACAATATTCAAGTTGTAAAAGTGAGCAAAGGAAGAGTTTTAGACCTTAACTGAGATGATGCTAGTCAAAATAACCCTACTTATTTTTTTATTTTAACTTTCAAAGTAAACAACCAGACATTTCTTTCTTTAACCCCATATTTAAACGTTTCTAAACAAGACAAAATATTCTGTAACGATAACTTAAATGCGTTTCTAAACATTGTTAATTTTACTTTCCCTGCCGTTGTTTACATAACAGGGCAAAGCATTGGAATCTTGTCAAATTTGACCCTTCGAGTTTCTTGCAACGATGATGATATTCGTTTTGAGACCTCCTCAACCCATACAAGTAAAAAAAAAAAAGAAAAAATATTCCGTGTATATGTGTGTTAGCGTCTATAAGAAACGATATTTGGCACGATAGCTTGTGTATAAGGAGCATTGATGCTTATTATTATTTAATAGCATCAATGCTCCTTAATATTAAACTGGGGGGGAGAGAATTGTTATGTGTCATATCTCGAGAGGTCGAACTTAACGATGATGTTATTCGTTATTAACATTTACAATTTTTTTCAAAACACCACTACCCTCAAAATTAAGTTTTTTGCCATTCGATATTAATTAAGTTTAAAAAGTTATATGTAAAGGTTTCTTGTTAAGTAAGGGATATACTTGTTATTCAGAATTAGTGTTACCACCCGTCCGTTTTTCATCCGGACAGTCCGGGAATCGACTCGCTGTCCGGGTGAACTATTAATTTTTCCGGGAATATCGTGCGCAACCTGTCGCCCCCCCTTTTTTTTGCTTCTACGATTCGTATTCGTACACGTCACCAATATCCAATAGAGCAAAGTCATCTGCAGTTGTTTTTTCTTAATTTAGTTACTTACGTTACTCCTACCCAAGGTTTCCTAGTCCCTAACTGCATGCCGGATTTAGAACCGGCATGCACTGCACATTATTCTTCGCATTGCAAAATAACACTGCGCATGCGTCAGGAACTCCTGTTCGAACAAACCTCACCTGCCGTCCGGGTCAGCTATTTTGAAAAGGTGGCAACACTATCCAGAATGATGCATAAAGTCCTAAATAGCTTTTATAACTATAACTTTCGGGAATTGTAGGTAAAATTTAGTGTTTACCAAAACGAAGCATGTAGTAACCGTTATAAAAAATAAGTTTTGTAATTGTACATCCATGCGAAGGCCATTTGTTTATCCGAGTTTTTCTTGGGTAGTAAGATCTCGAACTCCGGTAGTTCTCGGGTACGACGCGTATAAACAATGTGGCATGAATATATCTCCAGCGACGCAAAAAGATCAGATTCTATTCAACACCTCCATTCCCAAATTTCCCTCTCGATTTTTCTCCATCATTTTCGCCTACGGAGTTACATCTTTTGGGCAAACACCGGGCGGATAAAGGTAAAGGAGGAGTATGGCCGATACCTAGGAACTGCGGCCTTTCCGCCTACCGTAAATAAGCCTAACTATCAACATTCTACGATGTACAGTACTTGAGATTTGTAATTGCGAGTTAACTCTAAACGCACAGTGAGTTGTTGACCTTATTTTTTGGTGTCAGAATTTTAGAATGTTGATAACGCATGATAATGTGAAAAATGTATCTTTAATCTCTATGTACAATTTAGTCTCTACGGGGTGACCCCAGAGATCTCGCATCACCTCAAAATCTTCCTAGGGCAGCCTCTGGTTCGGCCCGTGAAAAAAGTTTTCTTCCCAATTCAGCCTGGGAGCAAAAACTGTTGGCCACTCCTGGTCTAAGTATATGTTTGATTTCTCGCATCTAAAATAGTACAGTAGAAACCGAGTTCAGGGTAATAGTTTACGGCCGCCCGATACCAGCGAATCTCGTTGGGCTGCTAATATAGAGCTAGTGTAACTGAGTTGAGCGCCACCTGTACGCAGGCAAAGAAAACTGCTTCGGGAAAACACGTGCGTCTTTGGCTTGTATATGTACTGAAACGCAGTGCTTGTTTTCTTCCTGTGATAACAAACCACAGCTTTCTGCCGCACAAAACTTCAAAAAATAACTGTTGTGTGGTCGGTTGTAGTGTTATCTATATTACTGCGCCGCCAGGTACAAAATTTTATTCGTTCCCGAATGAACAATACCTTGGCAAAAAAGGTATTAAAAACATTATATTATTATACATTCCACTAAAGTACTTGATTATATGTTGCTTTATAAATTTACTGTGTTCAATTTGCTAGCAAATTATTTAAATATGTATAAATATTAGTGTTGTAACGAATAGTATATTCGGCCAGGAGTGTGGCCGAATATTCGGCCAAACTATTCGGCTTGATTAACGCACGTACGAAAATTGGCGCGCAAACCGCATTATGGCAAGGATCCCGCTCTCTATTGGCCCGCTGTCACTACACTTCGCCAATCGCGTTAATTCTTGGCAGTTGTAGCGGACAGACAAGAGTGTCATGGAAGTATGTGATAAATAATGATATCAAATGTGAATAACAATGAAATGACCTACACGTGTAAATAACGGAAAAAGAACAGAGAAGGACCGCGAAGTGAAAATAAATAAGAAATTGAGTTGATAACATAATCGAACAAGTCGAGGCAGCTTATTGGCACGAAATTCGCGGCCGCCAATGCCAAACAAATGTTGTCATAGACTTCGGAAAGCTAAATGCTTGTAAAGAAAGTCACTTAGCGTGCACGGGCGAAAGCCTGAGGCCGTTCGGACTATCAAGCTGTCTCGAATCTGTGAAATCATAACTGTAACTTATATCGACGTCCTATCTGTCTCTTTTCTCCGTTATCACGTAATTGTAAAATGCTGTCACGTAATTGTAAAATGGGAACTCTACGACGGAAAAGTGACGAATCGAAAGTATCGTGAGCGCGTATTATGATGTATGCACAGACATACGTGGATTAGAGCGATAGAGGAAAAAGAAAGGGAAGAGCAAAGACGAGTTCTTAAAAAGGATAGGCAGGGTCAGACTCTCAGATGTGCGAGGATTCTCCAACGATAGACGTGTATTTGTGCTGATCTTTGTAATTATAAATTGTGAATACATGTGACTAATATTATTTTCTTTTTTATTTTGTGCATGTAACTTTAACATGCACAAAATAAAATAAATATAAATAAACAACACTAACTCGATAACATTAAATCTAAATAACAAAATGATTAATTTACTGTGTTTTTGTTATTTATTACTCCTGCTTTTAGGTATTCGGCCGAATAGTGAAAAATAGGCCGAATACCGAGTAGTAACCGAATATTCGTTACACCACTAATAAATATAAAACGAGTTCAAAAAACCAAAATTAAAACGTCAATGTTTTTAATTTGATTATATGACACAAATGGAATCACCTCGTATCATTACTTGTTTCTAATTGTAAATGCATGTAATTCATTCTCGTATTGATAACTATGCAAATATTGAAAGAAAAAAGAAATACCTTAATTTTAACATGATGGGTTTCTTGGAAATACTGGTTTGGAAAACAATTTCTCCAATGATGATAGTTGAACCTCGATTCACGTTTGGATCTGTATTCTTGTCCAAGGAAAATTCTATTAGTTTGGAAACGTGCCCACATTTAATAACGAAGTTAATATACCCGCTGAACGCGTTTAGCTTTCGATATTACAGTACTTACCCGCGATTATAAAAAAAATATAAAACTTTCCGGAATAAAAGATTCATTTGCAAAAAGCCGGAGTAAGTTTATAATTACTAAAACTTTAAAGTAATAACGAGAATAGAAATAAAACTAAAGCACCGTAATGTTTTTCGATGCGTCTTTTTTTTTACATATACAGTAGTAGGACAAATAAGTCACGGCTTAAACCCAGAAATGACGGATCGCTTATACAGTAGTCTACCTTCTTTGCAATCTTTAACTGGGAAATCTACTTTTCTTAATTGGCTTTCTACCGAAAACCAGTAAAAGAGAATTTTCTGTTCGATATACGGCCCACCAGTGGCCCAGTGGTCTTCGTACCCTGAACACTGGGAATTCGGTCGTGGGTTCGCGCCTCGCTCGGACGGGCTGGCCACGTGGAGTTTTCTCCACGTCTGTAACACCTAAATATGGGCCAGTTTCCCTTAAAAAGACCTCCCGGAAGGCACCCCCTAGTCAGATCGTCTAAGTGTTGCGTTGCTATAACTAAACAAACAAACCTTCATTATATGGGCACGAAGCAACGTCGAACCGTGGTTCGATTTTAACTTTAATTTAAAGACATCCACGCGCGTCGTCCCATCTCGTCTAAGTTTCGCCGGCGCGGCCGCGGGCGAAAATGGCCGTCTTTAAAGTTATTTAAGCGCAACCGAGTCTCAGACACGGAAAGAAGAGAACCGAATACGCCTTAATTAGAATGAACGTAAAGAAGCCGATAAACACAAATCGCGCCATAAATCACGTGCCAGCGGGAGGGCCACGGCGAATTTTAACTTATAGACCGTAGAATATTTCTTGTCTCTGGCTTAACTCCCACCCCAGAAAAATACGGACGCTTCGTCCCCCTTATTAGTAGGTCTGAGACCCACTCAAACATATTTTGGTACTTTTCCGTTAACTGGACACTTTCGTTCAATTATAAATATGTTTATACACGTGTATAAACATATTCATTGTAATATTAAACATGTGTGAATTACGAAATAAAATATCGATTTCGTAAAAATAACTGGCACCCAGTTATCGGAAACGTACCCATATTTCTTCTATAATTTTTTATGCACGGGAGCGTCGAATTTTTAACAGAGAAAGATGTAAATTGGAGATTTTCCTTAACTTTAAAAAGTACGTTTTGGCCGCCGAGCGTTTTTTATAAATCGAAAGTTAAAACGTGCAGACGACTGGGGTATAACAACCGCGGAGTCCGAAGAAGGGAAGCAACGAGAGTTAAACGAAACGATTGCACCATTTTATTATCGAGCCGGCCCGCGCGGCCGGGTCCTTCTTATAAAAGAGCAGAGGCCCGGGCGGGCGCTCCGAGTAGGTCGGGTGGTCTCCGTTGCCGGGCCGAATTTTGTCGTCCGCCGTACAAAAATGGAGTTACAAATCGTCCAGGTCGAAGTCGTCCACGCCGTCCAGAGCTTCCAGCGTCTGAAAGTCCACTCTGTATCTCAGTATTCCTGAAAATACAACCACCATTCGTTAAGTCCGCACTCTGTCGCGCCATTAAAAGTAATTAGGGGCCGTCCATAAGTTACGTAAGGGCGATTTTGGCCATTCTAGACCCCATCCACCCGTGTAAGAAACCGCAATATTTTCTCTGATCCCCTTCCCTATCTTATGTAATATTTAGGCACGATTTTATAGAAAGATTTTAACAAAAAAAATTTTTTTTATGAAACCCGAAAAACCTTAGGTTCAAAATATATCATTATTAATTAGTTAATTAATATGTACTATTATTTATAAAAGACTTTATGTGAACAAATTTAAAAATTTTATTTTTAATTATTCGCAACCTTTTTATTATTATTATTATCATTAATATAAAAATGAATATTATGACGTTGATTAATTTTAATTTTCACAAAAGGACGCAAAAAACTGACAGATCGACTAGCTGTTTCTCAACGGGGGCGATATCGCCCCAAGTGGGCGTTTTTCCATGTTGAGGGGGCGATTAGAAACAATTTATATTTTGGCGGCGAAAACAATTTTCTGGGCGATATAGTAAAACATTATCTTCTATATATATATATATAACCCATTGAACGTGTATCCGTCCACGTAGCAGTATGCCAAAAATGGGCACTAGAGGCGCTCCAGCGATGATTTTAAATTAACAATAAATTATTTTTATTTGTAATAGGAATTTATTATTGGTATAAATAATCATTATATATCTTACCTTGCCTTATTATATGCCTTGATTAACCTTGCGCCACACGTTTAAACATCCCGCGACTCAGTGAACGTCGCGCATTGACTCACGGGAAATTTGTTGAAAAATGGCGGATGCATTTAAAATCGAGGTTTACAAGCGAAGGTAAATAAATAAATTAAACTATTTTAAAGTATTTATAGAATGTTTAATAGGTAGAAATATAGATCCGTATGACGCGATTGGGACGGTAAGATTTACCCTCCGAATAAAGGGGTGGCGACCTCCTCTGTGCGAACAATGTCTAATGAACCATACTCCTACGCGTGACCCTTCCCGAGATATAGCCCTCCGAAAATTCTACGGGTCACGTGACCACCTGTTTGCCACAATTTGCCCTGCGAATGAGCGGGACGGCGACCCCCGAGTGTGCGCGAGCGCGCGTTAATTTTTTTCGCGTGGTAGACTCCCTTTTGACCACGGTGTCACGTGACAAGAAATAACGTAGGCGAATTTTCAGGGGCTTATATCTCGCGAAGGGTCGCGAGTAGGGGTATGGTTCCTTTGATTTTATTGTTCCCACAAGGGGGCAGTTTGCCATCAGAATTTCAAAGTGCTGCAGAACTGTTTCTACTAATGCCTCTGATACTAGCAGAGCTCCTTCCTTTGCCACTATGTATTGTAGAAAAGGTTCTAAACTACTACATCAGAACTACAAACGTCAAGGCTCAACAACGGTCTCTACTTCTATCTACGGCTGTTCATATGCTACCACATTGCAATTACCCCACTATCTCTAATCATCCTGTAAACAAGGTTATTTGGTGTCATCTGCTTCTTCCATGGATAATCATGCAGACATTAATATCTACACAGATGGGTCTAAAAACTCCCTTCATGTCGGCTCAAGTATCTGTATCTTCCTTCAAGCTGACATATTTTCCCAAAATATGTTAGAAGGTACAAATACTACACACTTGTTCTATCAAGCTGAAGATGCTGACTGCCAAGCTGTTCAGTGCAACTTCACTACCAAACAAAACTCTGTCTATCAACATTTACTGTGATTCTCAGTCTGTCCTAAAAGCTCTATTAAATCCTAATTGCAATAGCAATAAAATCACATATATCCAGCACCATATTAAACATCTTGAAAATAAGATAACTTTTATATATTTTCCTGGCCATTCTGGTATACTTAGAAATGAAAAACTCGACTTTGAGGCTAAGTCAGCTGCAAAGGACACTGACTCGGACTACACTCACATCCCTCTCTCACGTAGCAACCTTAAAAATTATATTCATGACAACGCTATGAAAAAGTGGAATCAACAATGGTTGAGCAGTAAAACTGGTAGAATAACAAGACTTTATTTTCCTAGTGTTGAATGCAGGTCCTCATCGCCATTTACAGATTTAACATTTGCTACTGTTCAACTACTTACTGAGCATGATAATTTTAGAAGCTACCTGGCGATGAAGCTACCGGGCAGAACTGTCTCTTGCTTTTGCTCTACAGAAAACCTAGACAATGGCGACCATGTGATCTATCATTGTCCAATTTACAATCAACATACACTTATTCTGAAATTAGAAATCTTTACGCTTGGTTTCAGGTGGCCACGTCCACTGGATAAGCTTGTTCAGAAGCCACTGTTTGATGCTTTTTACAATTGTGTTCAAAAAACATGGAAGAAAAGACTATTTATAATTTCTAATATCTAGTTTTACATTTTAGTTTTCACTAAAAGCCGAATACTAATTTTATGTTTACAGTACTTTGTATCGTGTATTTTGGTTTATGTACAGTATTCTTAATGTTATACACCCATAGGAATAGTGCCCTTATTCTAATAAAAAAAATAGAGAAAGACCACCACACGGCCTTTCTCCCATGAAAATAACCTGTAGAGCATGAGTCTGCTAGCGTTATTATTTTATCACGTCATACGAGATGGCTTTAGTACAACAGCGTTCTTAATAGAAACGGCCAAATTGTAGCCAAATTCAAAACTCCACCACTCATTCAGATAAAAAAATAACAAGTAAAACCGGCAAGGCCTTGTTTGGGACAAGACTATGTCTCGGAGACTCACTACTAAGCGGAATCACTTTGACGCTCAAGGCGGGTCTCGTTCTCATTCTCCAATCTTATTTGGTACTGTATCGCTGCTTTTGGCCGCGATCGTTCAAACTTCGCCGGCCACGTTGCATTTTCGATGAAATTAACCTATCCAATTTCGAAATTTCTCTCAGTTGCGTGTCAGCCCGGGTTGAATTTTTGTCGATACGTAACGAAAATTTCCCGTTTTCGAAAAAAATAATCGTGGCTATTGGGACATTCCAATTTTCAACTCTGACTCAGCGTTGTTCTCAACGTTCGTTAAAAATCGTTCCTTTTTTCAACATTGAAGTTGCGCTGTTATCAGTGCTGTCTAAACACACACAAGTAGCAGTCAACAGACATGTTGACTGCCACTTTCCAATGAATTGTGGGTAATTGGTACGACATTTGAATGGAATCCATCTTGCTGAGAATGGAATTATGGGAACTAAGCACTTCGTACTCGAGTTGGAACGTCGTTGATGACGTCAAATTGTTGACTTCAACACTCAACATTCGAGTTGAAAATTGGATGTCCTGTATTGTACGCCCGAAATTATTTTTATTTTTTTTATTTTGCACAAACACTATACAGTTTAATCCGATTATAACGTCATCGGATGTAACGACAACCCTAATACAACGTCAAATTTTTATCGGTCCCACGATTTTACTATACTAGATAATGTTAAAAAAACTCACTTGTAACGATATAAAACTGTTTTAACGTCATATTTGAGGCACTCCCAAATTTACAGAATTAGATTACAAATTTTATTTAATTAACATAGAAGAAACTGCGTGTTCAGTCCTAAGGTCAGAGTTCACTTTTTAGAATGATTGTGGGTGGTACTCTCCCCCTGCCTAACTTCGGTGGGGTGAGGTGGCTGTTTTGCCTGTTTGTAGAAGAGAGTCGCCATTTTAGATTTTATTTTGACTCTGTTCTCTGTCCCCTGACTACCTAAGAGTCTGGATTTTTTATGCGCAAATGATTTGGGCACCTAATACTATGTGCCAAATATCAACTCTCAACATATATCAAATATGATATTTGGGATATATACATATATCCCAAATATCAACTCTCAACATATTCATACCTCTATGCTGGTAATAAAAAAACGGCAGTACGATTTTATAAACAAGATATAGTCTTGTCAAAAATAAGAATATTACGTAAGACGAGATCTATTAACCCCCCCTACCCGAGTAAGAAATCCTTGACCGCCACCCACCCCAAAATACCTTACGTAATTTATGGACGGTCCCTTACCGCCGGTCTTAACTACTTTTAATCGCGCCAACTATTTGCCTCGGCGCCGGGCGGCCTAGTTTTCACGCCACGTATCGATATCGAGACAATTATAGTCTATCAGTTTTTTAGTATTGCATTTAGAAAGGTGGTAAAAATAATATCGTCTTCGATAAATGTTTACGCGTCTATTCTGGGTCTAATCGAAGTGCGCTACGTAAAAGCTCATTTCTCGCCAATTGTCGCACCACTTGGTAACAACGTAGGTAGAAACGAGCCCATGGTGCCGTATTGGCCCGGATAGTCGAAGGCCGCTGCTGCCCCGCCGAACGTAAAATATGGCGGGCGCTGCCATTAAAAGTAATTACGCCGGCGGAGTCGCCATCCGTCTCCGGACTTTGTTTTTGCCGCTCCCCCCGGGCAAACCCAAAGTACCGAATTAAATGTCTTATTTTCCCCTTTTAACCGCCGGCGTTACGGATGTCGGTAAAACGGGCAGTCCGCAGTTATTATTTACCTCCGATTCCTCCGAAACCTTTGACGTACTGAGAGCCTTCTTGCGATCTGTCCGTGATAATTTCCAAAGTCGCTCCTGAAAATACAATCCTTTATTTTTCAAACTTTTACGCCACCGAAAACGTATCCGTCTGTTTAATTATAAATCGTCCGTAAAATTAAAAACTAAACCGTAACTTTCATCAATTTACCGGATCCTGTACAGTAGAAAATATTTAATACTAATTTATAAAGGTAAATCTCAGTCGACCTTTTCCGGTGTATTTGCCCAGATTTAAATAAATTTCTCCTTTAAAATATTTTATCGCGATTTTTAATTTGTGCCAAAGTCGAATCCGGCCTTTATAATTATTCTACCGTGCGGAAAGAACAGATTATCCGAAATCTCTCTCCAATCTTACGGGACGACGCGCAATCCTTGCCGGTTTGTGCTACGTCCTTTGGTTCCAATAGATTTCGGGTGCAAAATTTAATAGTGGAGACGTCGAAAACGACAAAACTTGCGTAAAACCATCCGAAACGGAAAGACTAAATATCCGTACGAAATTTAACCCGTCTAAACGTAAATGAATAAATAGTTCGTTTAATAATAAATAGTCGAACGATTTTTTCGGATTGTTTAACCTTGCGCGGCAAAATGTATTCTCCACCGAATAATTTAGTTTACTAACACAAAACGGTCGACCTATTTCTGGCTAATATCGCAAAGACGTAACTAAAAAACGTTATCGGGCAATTATACAAATATCGGAAGATCCCGATTTATTTCTAAATAAAAACCGGTAAATTTAATTTGTTTTAAAATGTATGAATTATAATAACGAATTTTTTACTCACCGAAATTCTTATAATTGTTTGCTAACCATTCCAATAGTGGCATGGAGTCTATTAATTCCAATTCTACACCGGTCTGCAAAATATAATTCGTCGTTTAATATACCGTATACGTTACGAAAATACTTCGAATAATTTAAGTTAATTTTTTGAAATAATCAAACATTCAAATTCCTGAATTGCTAACCGCAAGTAATAGTTGAAATGAAAAACCTAACGATATTTCTGACATTTTGATTTAAAAAAACTATCTGGGAATTTTATATAAAAATATTCCATTTTATTTCACGTAAAACAAAGTAACTAATACGTGGTGCATTCAAGTTCTAAGGTCTCCATTTTTTTTTCTGGCAAAATACTTACGTAAATTGAAACTTCTCAACATAATCTCCCTCCAGACATACAACGTCGACACCATGACATCGTGCCGCTGTGAACGCTTCTTTAGGGGTCTGTTTTGACCACTGGAAAATCGCTGATGCTAGAGCACAGGCACGACTGGAAAATGTGCGACCACGGATTGTGTCCTTCATCATTGGAAAAAGCCAAAAATCGCTAAAAGCAAGGTCACGTGATTAGGGATCATGAAAAACCACTTTAAAGTTGTTTTCACGAAGAAACTCCTGTGTTAACATCGTCCGCTGGAGCATTGTCTTGATAGAAGAGCACACGTGCAGCCTTTTTCGGCCGTTTCTCTCGCAATGCTGGAAGCAATTCGTGATGACAACATGATTGTGCGTATGGAGCAAGTTGCTTCACGCGCGCAATCATGTTGTCAGATCGGCTGGTGCGTGGGCAAGGATGTTTCGGTTCGTTGCCACGCGATGTTCGCCCTTCTTTGAGCTGTCGCACCCACGAACACACATTTTTCACACCCATGACACCATCACTGCATGTGTCCAGTGCCGGCCCGATGAGCTTTAGGATGGAGCAAGATCCTATTATGGCGCCCGAGGGTGGAACCCCGCACACGCACTCGATCCACGCGTCTCAACAGATAAGGCCATTCACATACTGGCCACACGCTTGCAATTAAAATATCGAAAAGTGAAAAAAAATAATTTTTCCTTTAATTTTCTTTGCCACTGAGGCGCTCCTTAGGACTTAGCTCCTGGAGCGGCTGCTCCGTTCGCCCTATGGTAGGGCCACTGCATGTGCCACTCAACTGGCAATGAATTTCGGTGGGTGTCACTCCACACAAGTGCAGATAACGAATGATTACGCGTTGTTCTTGTAATGAAAACATCGCCATTTTAAGTATCAAAAACACCTCTCACTCGAATACAGTTCCGTGCGCCGTGCGGCGCTCCCTGATATGCAACCACAAACAGTGTCTGGTTCTTTAAAAAAAAAACCCATGTTGCTAACTATTCCCGTCCCCTAACTGCCCATTTTGTATTTGCTGGTTTTGTTTCTATAATGTTTAATTTAAAACTTACTCAATTATTACTACTAATGTCCGGAACTGAGCCGAACCCAGATCCTCTTCAAAAAACTCCAACCAAAAGAGGTAGACCTCCAACAAACCGAACTACGCAATATTCATTCAACACTAAACCAGCTGAAGGTGAAAACAACTTGATTACCAAATATACTCAACCACGAAGAGTGGAATCGACTACTTCGGTAAGTGAAAATCCTACTTTGAATCCTTCATTTGCAACTTCAAATATGGAATTATCTGACACTACAACTTCACTTCTCTGGACGAAGATAGTTGATTTGATTATTTCTAGTAATGAAAAAATAGAAAGTCTTTATGAAAATTTTCTTTAATTCGCAAAGAAATTACAACTATTCATAATGAAATTAGTGACTTTACTGGTCAACTCCATACTATTACAGATAGAAAAGATAAATTCGAATCCGAACTTAAAAATTTAAAAAATGAGAATGAGCTGCTTCAATTTAAGATTGATGCAATGCATAATATATTAAATAATAATAATTTAATAATATATGATCACTCGAAAATATTTACTGACGGGAACGAAGAGGACATATTGAATTTTTTGAATCATTCACTAAATATTCCATGCAAAATGGATGAAGAAATAAAATCAATCGTAATATTCCTAATTCAAAGATTAATATCAAATGTTTAATTTTAAAATCTGATCAATTGTGAAATAAAATAATGATCACCTTCAATAAACAAAAACAAAATAAATCATTGGGACCATGCAAATTTAAACATGTCTGTAGATTTGGTTGTTAATTCTCGTAAGAGAAGAAAAGCTTTATTACCTTACTATATCAATTTAAAAAAAAAAAAAACGAAATATATAGGTTAAATTACGAGATGATTTTCTTCTAATCAAACAGAAAAAAGTAACTTGCAGTTTCTTAATAAATCAATTGGTATACGCATAGGAATTTTTAAAATACACGACTTAAACAATTCTGATAATTGTCAAATACTCAATAATGAAACTGATTACAATAAAAATCAAGAAACGTCTTACCTAAACACAATAAATTGGAATTGTAATGGCTTATCGAAAAAAGTTGATAATATTGTATTAAACATTTATTAAATAATACCGATATAATGGGTCTAACGGAAACCTGGTTGACTTTGCCAAATGAAGGATTAAAAAATAATTATATGGAATTTACTTTTATATCAACCGTGGTGCATAAACCAGTTGGGCCCGGTCGTCCATATGATGCATTAAGTTTTATTCATCAAGAAAAATATAGGTCTAATTAAGAATATACAGAAAATTGATAATTGTATATCAGTCTTAATCCAAATTACTAATCCACATTTACAGTTTTTGCTAAACAGATTAATAGCCATTATATTAGTTTATATCCCTCCAGATCAACTTCAGATTTTAAATGCTTATTATTATATTATAATAATAGGAGATTTAAATGCGGGAATAACTCAAAAAATGGATATGGAATAAGGGGACCTAATTTATCGATTTAAAAATATTCGTAAATCAAAAGACAAAAAATATAACAAAATAGGATTCAATTACTAGAATATATGGATCAATTACAACTATATATACTGAACGGCAGAATTAAAAATGATTATCCGGCGGAATTTACTTGTCTGACAATTCTGACTGTTCTTTCTGTTAAGTGCTGTACACACGTCAACTACGAACGTGATACAATTAAGAAACGACTTTCGGAACATCTCAACGTGTATATCTCTATACGTGTAAATGATACTTATATTGATTTTTCTAAATCATGTTATTGCTGTAATTTCAACAATTTCTCTGCACTTCATCTGCTCAGAGACTGTACTGCTTTGAAAAATTATCAAAAATTTCAAACTCTAAACATATTTTCTTCAAACAATGAATCTGATTATAGATCCAAGTTGGGCAATTTATCAAAAATGAATATGTACAAAATTGCTAATTTCTTTAATCAAATCATTAATGATTTGAATATCCATTATATGAAATAACTATATGTTCAATTAATCCATTACTTTTATATAGATATATATAATTAATTAACTAATTTAATTGTATTTATTTACTATTTATGTTTTTGTATTTTAATCAATTCCCCCTGTAACAAGGATTCCTTATTATGAATAAAGATTATTATTATTGTAATGTATAATAAGTTCTTCGAAACGAAAAAATACAAAGTAACGATTAGGATTGATAATTTTTTTAAAACATATATCGTCTAACTATTGTTTACAGATTGTTTAAAATATACTGAAACACTTTGTAATAAGAGTTATTATACGAAAATTATATCTACAAATCAAACAATTGTTATTTTCCCACTTTGAAATATATAAATATAACTAAAATATAGCTTATTTTACAGTATTACATTTATCGAATTTTAACGCGAGTCTAGAAGCATATGTAATCCTATGGTAACGAAAAATTTAACATTAGAAGAGCAAAAACTCGCAATTACGTCATCGAGACCGAATCCTCCATTACCATCGGGCAAGAATTTGATCGAGTATCATCAATTCTTCCCACGACACCCAACTCGTGACAAATTTCGAACATTTCCAATAAATTTCCTAACATTAACGCAATTAACGTTTCCAGCAAATACGGATTAATTTCGCTTTACGAAAAATCAATGTTTTCTTTCACCTATCCGATTAATCGGCACGTGTTCTTTCGATTGGTACAAAACAAATTTTGACTATTCGTTTGTTACTCGGAAACTCGGCTCGTTACGACTACTACATCTATTCTATAAATCATAAATTTTAACCATCGAATTTGTAATACTATTATTAAAACAAATGATTTAAAACTTACTTCTTTATCCGTAAAATGCGTTTTGTCTTTTTCTTGTTCCGGCGTAAGATGTATTATCTTTTCCTCTAAAAGTAAAATAATAATGGTAACGTATACGGTACAGTATGTACTGTACATTTTCGAGAATTTAAATATTTACCGTCCGTAGTATGATTTTTTAATACATAACGAACTATGTCTAGATTTTCCCAAGCTATAAGAATTTCCACCGAGCCCATTTCTAAAGCTCTTAACGTATCGTCTACACCAAAACAATACTTCCCAGTATCTTGCGATATTTCGTCAAAATAACGCCCTGTAAGTAAATACGTACAAATTTTAAATTATTTTAGTTTATTTAATGCATAATTTCTATTGTGAAAAATTAACAAATCATTCTTACCGATAAGTTTTTTTTCCTGAATAAATTTAACACTAGAAAGAATTTCTGCAGATAATTCAATGGCTTGATTAAAACCATTTTCTCCACCGTACGAAACGTCTACTAACTTTAAAACTTTAATTTGTAACCTCTAAAAAACAAAAAAAATGCTTCCTAATAATTATCAAACAAAATGCCGTCAAGTAATCGTAGGAAGAAACTGGACTACTTACTGGATCGAACATATCCGACTGACTTAATTCTGTTTTAAAATCGGCAGAACCCGCTAGAATCAATCCGGCTATGTTTGGTTTGTCGTTAGTAATAAATAACTGCGTCGCAACTTCTGCCACTTTACGTACGTAATTATGCCTCTTTTCCATCCTTAACCTTGCAAATCTCAAAGCAGACTGACCGCCACGTCCTAAAATAGATATTTTATTAAACTGATTGATTTAGGTTGCAAATTTTTGGAGAGATACGTAAAGATGCTATTTCACATTTTTTAGAAATACCGTATTTACTCGAATATAAGACGATCTCACATTTAGGACAAAGTGTGACTTTAAAGATCAAAATAAAGAAAATTAGATTTATTAATACAATTCTAATTTTATTTCGTTTAATCACAAATAAAATATCAAATGCACGTAAATGCACACATTGTCTCGCAAAAATTACTGGCATTTTAAACTTCAAGGAAAAATCTTGTAAAATCGACAACATAATTTGTTCACGTAAAGCTGGACAATCTGAAACCCTTTTTCCCCCCCTTTCAATTCTTAACAGTCGAATTCACTCTTCGTCGATTACACTTTGAGTTTCTTCGAATTCTGATTTCCAAATAATCATCTGTTTTCACGTGGGAATGAATTAAAACTTATATCCGGCTCTCGTGTAATTTCGGAATTCAATTCAAAAGCTTTGCTTTTCCTATTGCTATTCATCTTTACTCCTGATTCAAACGACTTAGATAAAATACTTTTGTTTTTAAACACTAAACGATGAGAACCCGGAAAAAATGCGAATACACAGTTACAAAAATTATACAAAAGGAAATGAATCCTTCCTCGCGCGTATAGGACGACCGTTTTCGAAGCATTGAAAAATTGATAAAAACCTCGTCTTATATGCGAGTAAATACGGTATTTCATAGAACTGAATCTCCAATAATGGCCAACCGTTTTTCGAGATTGTTTCTTTTTGAGTGCGTTTACTTCTGAGCTAATTTTACTGTCAGCACGCTCAACCTGTATACTGTACTTTCGTCCGAGCACCGCGCTCACTGGCGTTTACTTTACAGTTGTATGACGTCATTTTTAACGGAATTAGTAAGCTGGGAATGCTCAAAGTACTAGATAATCTAGGACCTTGGGGAGTGCTAGCTAGTTCGCTGTTGAGCTTTGCGCTAATTCAATATTCAATATGATTCTATCTGTAACGTAACATTTAAAATAGCAGCTTTGACATTATTATTCGCAGGAAGCCGCCATATTTCTTGTTAATGTTCGCGTTTACTTTCGAACCGGCATGTAAGCACGAATACACATGCTAATGACGTCACTTCCAGTGTTCAGAAGTAACACTATTAGCTCAGAAGTAAACGCACCCTTAGAAATGCATACAAAATAATCTTCAAACAACAGTCGTTTCTTATGTTTGTGCCGGTGGCCGTGGTTCGAAAGGTTTGTCCAGGTTCCGTTGGGTAGTGCAAATTTTGCCACATGACCATATTTTTTTCACTATGGGGAAATAATCTGATGATAAACGATACGTGCTGCAAACTAACTCGCATAGTAACTCGATCGTAATGCTGTTCGATAACGCTCGTGTAGATAATCGGAATGGCAAATACGAGGGTAGTCCCAGAAGTACCCGACCTAACAAAGACACAAAAAATTTGGTAAAACATATCTTTATTTTTCGACATAGTCTTTTTTTAGCTCGATACACATTTTCCAGCAATGTACAATAGCTTCGATCCCCTGTTTATAGTGAGAACTGTCGAGCTACTCAAAATAGCCATCAACCGCAGACTCCACCTCTTCATTCTTGGCAAATCTTTCATCACCAAGCCATTTTTTTAAGTTTGAAAAGAGAAAATAATCCGAGGGGGCTAAATCAAGCGAATAGGGTGCGTGAGGAAGCAATTTGAACGATCAAAATCAAAATCAACTCATTGATTTTGGCCATCGCAATAACGGATATGTGAACTGGTGCGTTGTCTTGATGAAACAACACTTTCTTTTTCGCCAAATGTGGCCGTTTTTTCTTGATTTCATCACTCAAGCGCTGCAATAAGTTCGCATAATACTTGATTGCTGATTGTTTTTCCTGGGCGCATCCCAAAAAACTGACGCCATGACCTTGCCAGCAGATGGAACTGTTTTCGCCTTCTTTGGAGCTGATTCTCCCCTTTCAGTCCATTGTTTCGACTGTTCTTTCGTCTCAGGTGTGAAGTGATGGACCCATGTTTCATCCATGGTTATGAATCGACGCAAAAACTCGGCTTTGTTGCTGCGAAACATTGCCAAAGACTCGATTGAAACATCCTCACGACGCTGTTTTTGTCCCATTGTGAGCAAACGCGGCACCCATCTTGCGCACAGCTTTCTCATGTCCAAATTTTCAGTTAAAATGCGATGTACAGCACTTTTTGAAATTCCTACCATGTCTGCTAGCTCTTGCACTTTGAGTTGACTGTTATCCAATATTATTTTGTGGATTTTTTTCACCATTTTTGGCATGGTCACCTCACTTGGTCGACCACTACGATGTTCGTCTTGGCAGCTTCGTACGGCCTCGTTTAAACTCTGCCACCCAATATTTTATTGTTGTAAACGAGGGAGCAGACTCCCCCAGAGTAGAATCTAGCTCACCTTTAATATTGGTTGGACTGAAACTTTTCAAATGAAAGTATTGTATCACATAACGATGACAATTTTTTTCCATGTTTACAAATTCACTGAGATTGTTCACTATTTATGGCTGCCAAAAAAATACTATACAACGTAACGTCTTCAAACTTCAAACTTAAGCTTCATAAGGTTGATATTTTCGAACACAATCGTTTTTTTTTTTTCAAACAAGTACCGCCATCTATGTCAGGTCGGGTACTTCTGGGACGACCCTCGTACTATATTGTTCTCTAGTGACATCTGGTGTGTGTTACCGGATGGCTTTGGTAAATAATGTTGTCCTGGACAAACTGCAGAAACATATTTTGCAGCCTGCTGCCATGGAAGAGTACGATAACTATAATTTTTGAGCCGATGCTCGGAATCAGTTAATAATTATATATTAACTAGTCCATCGGTTAAAAAAATGTAAAATAAATTAATTTTCGAAAAAATCTTTTTTCAAAAGCTATATTTTTTTTTATTTTGTAAAGTGTATATACAGTTTTATTATATATTTTTCGGGACCTTATTTGATTCTATTGTTGGCCAGATATATGGTTATCTCCTGCCTATTTGGGATATAAATTATTTGGACAGAACTGAAAAAATCCAGGTTTATTTTATTAAATGTATCTTTAAATTAGAATGATTGATATTTGGAGTTATACTCTACAAAGAATTTGGAAGGCTACCTTTGTGCTACCGTTGTATCAAATCGCTATCAAATTTTTGGCTTTTACTGTTGTGACTACCCTAGGACGAAATGAAATGTTTATGACTTTTGACTTACAGAGTTATTTAAAGGAAAAGACTAAGCTTTGCTTGCTTCTCTTAAAAATTTCTGGATGGTTTGGTTCTTCATATGTTTTAGACACTCAGTTTCCCAAATTGGTCGAAATGTTCAGTCGATAATGTACAGACTTACACCTACATAAAATTAAAATGAGATAGGATAATGCCTCGTTAAGTTGTGATCTGTCTTTACCTCAGTCTCCATCATTGTATCGTTTATATGAAGCAAATTACCGTGCTGAATCATTAATTTTATAACTAAAATATAACAAATACTGATTATTATTTTTTCAGAAATATTGATATATTAATTTAGATATTAATAAACTTAGAATGGTAGTAATTTTTTGTATCCTGTACAGTTCTGGAGCCTTTCTGCAGGCAGATATTTGGCAGTTATGGAAGTATTGTATGCTATTTAGAGTCTCCAGATATTAGCTATATAGTAGTTTAATAAATGAAACATTTTACAAAGTATGCTGAACTGATTTATACATCTTAAGTTCCCCTTGTACAAAATAAGTACAATAAAGTTTATTATTATTATATTTTTTGGGACATATTACAATTAAAAAAATTCAATTTTCATTAATTTTTCAAATTTTTTAAAAAATCAAGTTGACAAAATTTGAATATTTATTCTATGGCATCCATCTTTTCGCAGTTTATGTACTAAATTGTTGAAGGTAAATTACAGATTTTTTTTAGACATGTTTTACTAAAATTACTAAATTTTAGTAATTTAGAAATTACAAAGTTATTATAATAATTTCTTTTTATTTTACTCCTATGAGTCTCTAGCAATTGAGTGATTGTCAAAAAATGAGGTTTCTAAAATTTACTTTGAAACATTTTTTCTTGCAAAGTGCAAATTGCTATTACAATTGCAAATTTATGTACAGTATTTGATACAATTATGATATATTTTAGACTTTGAAGTTCTCTTCTCTCAGAAAACAACCTATGTTTACAAAGAATAGAAAAGCATGCCAGTTAGTTGCCAGCTACAAGATCACATAATGCTGCAAAGTTTCCTAAAAACTAAGACAAAAATTTTTTTATTAAATAATGAACAAAATCGTTTCATTTAATTAAACATTCCATTACTGGTTTTGTTGTGGATTTTAAAGAATTAAAAGCTATTGGCTTTTTCAGTAACACATCATACAAAGAGCAGTTGTTAACATAGGCTTTATCAATGGAGAAAATGATTTCGGGTCCTAATGACCTCTCTTCAGTCCTTACACTTTACAAAAGGAAGATAGATAATGATTACATCATGCATAACAATACATATAATATTTAAAAAAAAACTTTTTTAAATTACATAGTTGATTATTGGTTACAAATTGACATTAAAGAAAATATTGGGTAATTGACTGGGTAGAATCTGTGTACAAGGATTGCTGTATAACAGCGCTGTCCAACTTATCATAGCCCGCAGGCCATATTTTCTTCACCAAACATTTCAGGGGCCAAGAATATTAAAAAAATATTTTATTTATACTAAAAAGAAAACTTTAAAATATTCGTAATATATTAATGAGAACATTGTGGCCGTAATTGTTTAGCAACAATATCTTTTATGTCCACATCAATATTTGTTGTGGCAAGTCTAATTATATTTTCAAGAGTGGAATCTTTCAAACTGTTTCTATATTTTGACTTTATATATTTCATATCGGAGTATGCACACTTGCAGATATATGTACTTCCGAACATTGACACAATT